ACACACACCTCAAACAGTTCTAGGCACCTGGAAACTGACCTCTCCTACTTGCTTGTTCGCCGGAGAGGGGATGTGGACAGAAGTATAGATTAGTAGTTAATCCTTTGCACAGCATATGTGAGTCTCTGGACTTGAACCCCAGCACTACACACACACACACACACACTTCTGTAAACCCACAATTAGAGAAAAAGAAGGGAGAAAAATCACGGAGCTAGAAGACACAATGGTGCTCAGTCACTAAGAGCCCAAGGTGGATGGATGGGCTCAGGGAGGCAAGGAAATCTTTCTGGCACAAGAGGCTGGTCAAGCCATGCTCTTCAAGACAAGGGTTGCCCTTTTACCATTCAAATAGAAATGGTTTCTCGATGTCTAGAGCCTCGGTTTCTTAGTGGTTCCTATCATGTCTCCGCTTCCTCCTGAATTTATTTCTAAAATAAAGAGATCCGTATGGGAATCAAATGATCTTTAGTGTAGAGAGATTATTCTCAAATACTTAGACTTCCAGGGTGAAAAACTGGGAAGAAGGTAGGGAAGCGATGGGAGGTGGGGGGCACAGCATATACCAACCAGTAAAAACAAGTAGCACAAGGGACTCAAGAAGTGTCAACCTCCATCTTGAACCCTGGACTACTAGGGGGGAAAAGGTATATTTATCTAAATGTCACTAGTGAAGAAAAACAAATAATAGGTAGGTCCCAATATCCAGGGCACCCAAGAGCTGACAGAGCTTCAAGGAAAATGTCACTATAGACATCTAGGGGCTACCTACTGGTTGGACAAGTATCGATTATGTATTGTGTACTTGATATGCTGTGGCCTTGGCACTCTGAGGGGGCATTGTTGGGGACAGTGGGACTGGAGGGCATTGTTTGTGCCTTTAGTACTTACAGTTGACATGACTAATTACATGAAACCATAAACCATGCCATATAGATTGGGTAAAACTGTGGGAAACAGATACAAAATACTACAAGAAATTTGGCTATGAAAGATAAGCAAACTTTATTTAAAAGGCATAGGATTTAAGCTTGGCCTCCAGTAGAATTTAGAGAAGGAAATGTCTCCCTAGGAAAAGGGGACAGAGAAATTACACCTCATAAAAGTATTGAGTAGGTCCCAATTGGCACAAATATGGATAGGATCTTTTTCTCTCTCCCTCTCTCCCTCTCTCCCTCCCTCCCTCCCCCCCTCTCTCTTTGGTGTTTTGAGACAGAGGACAGAGTTTCTCTGTGTAACTTTGGAGCCTGTCTTGGAACTCACTCTGTAGACCAGGCTGGCCTCAAACTCACAGACATCTACCTGCCTCTGCTGTCCAAGTGCTAGAATTAAAAACTTGACTTGGGATCCAATTTTAGAGAGTTATCTGGCTGGCCTAAAGACCTAGGGAAGAATGGAGTACCAGCTGTACTAAGCTTCTAGCCCCTAGCCTATTTAGAGAACTGACCCAGGACAGGTCATTCCTGGACTGGTATGGCCACCATCCTGTATTCTCCACCCAAGCCTGCACATCAGGAAAGGAATGGTGCTATGGAATGCTTTTCCCCATCTGAGCCTAGTTCTTCTAGGTGGAATAATCCACCATGCCCACCAACCCAACACTACATTCAGAGATTTGGGAGGAGCCTTTCTAGGGAAGATAGTAGCTCTCCCTGGAAAGTATGTTGTTACTTTGTCACCCTATGAGAAGCCTGGAGAAGACACTGAGCTTGGGAACTTTGTATAATTTCTTCTCCTTGGCACATTCTAGTTTCCTTCCTGGATTTGACTTTGGAGTCTTCTGCTTTGTCCCAGCCTCCCCGTAGATTAGACTGCTGCCCACCAACCTCCCCTACACGTTTCAATGCCCCTTTTTCTACACCTCTGTCCCATGCAGAATTCCATCCGTCACAACCTGTCCTTGCACAGCAAGTTCATCAAGGTTCACAACGAGGCCACTGGCAAGAGCTCTTGGTGGATGCTGAATCCCGAGGGTGGCAAGGGTGGCAAGGCACCCCGCCGCAGGGCTGCCTCCATGGATAGCAGCAGCAAGTTGCTCCGGGGCCGCAGCAAAGGCCCCAAGAAGAAACCATCTGTCCTGCCAGCTCCACCTGAAGGTGCCACTCCAAGGAGCCCTCTAGGCCACTTTGCCAAGTGGTCAAGCAGCCCTTGTCCTCGAAATCGGGAAGAAGCTGATCTGTGGACCACCTTCCGTCCACGAAGCAGTTCAAATGCTAGCACTGTCAGCACCCGGCTGTCCCCAATGGGGCCGGAGTCTGAGGTGCTAGCAGAAGAGGAAATGTCAGCCTCAGCCAGCAGCTACTCAGGGGGTGTCCCTCCCACCCTCAGTGAAGATCTAGAGCTGCTGGATGGGCTCAATCTTGCATCTCCCCATTCCCTGCTGTCTAGAAGCAGTCTCTCTGGCTTCTCTTTGCAACATCCTGGGCTTGCTGGCCCATTACATAGCTATGGTGCCTCCCTTTTTGGCCCAATAGATGGGCCTCTGTCAGCAGGAGAAGGGTGCTATTCAAGCTCCCAGTCTCTAGAGGCCTTGCTCACCTCTGATACACCACCACCTCCTGCTGATGTTCTCATGACCCAGGTAGATCCTATTCTGTCTCAGGCTCCCACACTTCTGTTACTGGGAGGAATGCCTTCCTCTAGCAAGCTGGCTACTGGAGTTAGCCTATGCCCTAAGCCGCTAGAGGGTCCAGGTCCCAGCAACCTGGTTCCCACCCTTTCTGTGATGGCTCCACCTCCCATCATGGGAGGTGCTCCGATCCCTAAGGTCCTGGGAACCCCTGTGCTCACATCTCCTACTGAAGCTACCAGCCATGACAGGATGCCTCAGGATCTAGATCTTGATATGTATATGGAGAACCTGGAGTGCGACATGGATAACATCATCAGTGACCTCATGGATGGCGGTGAGGGACTGGACTTCAACTTTGAGCCAGGTATAGCACCCCCTGATCACTACATCATCTCTGTTCTTGAATGCTCAGCTAGTTCTATGATCTGAGCTAGAGAGAGCCTTATAGCTGATAACAGGAGTTACTGGGGAGTTGATGGGAGGATGTCATATTCTAAGTGGGACTTCCCAGCGGCTCCTCATTGCAGAAGGGAGAGCTGTGGCGCCGGGAGGGGGGAGGGGTGGGGGGAGTGCCTTTGCTTAGTATGAATCTGGATCTGGATGGTGCCCCAAATGAATCTTTTTATCTTGTCCCCCATTTTTTCCTCACAGATCCCTGAGTCACAGCCAGAAGCTTTGTCCCCTGCTTCAGAGGTGGAGCCAGGCCTGCCCTTATCTACTTTTTCTCCTTGAGCCCTCCCCAGAAGTTTGGGACCCTGCTTTAGAGCCAGGGTTGGGTGGTCACATACATGAGTGTTGAGGAAATTATAAAGATAGAGCTATGGCATGTGGGGATTGTGGAGGAGGGTGATGGGAGGAAGAAGGGAAGAGGGCTTATTCTCACTGTGCCAATTAGGGGGAGTAATTATGGCCCTTTCTCAGGAGCCATCATTGATTTCCCCATTCCCACCTCCAAGGCCTTGTAGCAGGGGCCAGCAATGCTATTAGAAATGTGAAGTCACCAGTGGCCTTATTACCCCTGCCTTTGGGAGCAGGATTATTATTTTTTTTTGTAGAGAGTCTTACTAGAGCTGGGCCAGGCTAGGTCAGGCCTGGGTTTTTATGCAGTGGGTGGGGGGCGGGGGGTTGGGGGAACCTAGAAGGGCCAAGTTTTGAGCACTGGAGTGGCTCACCAGGCCAAATCACTTTTGGAAGGATGCAGATAACAGACAGGCTTTTTATAAACTTTTAAAGAAATATAAACACAAATATAGAGATTTTTAACAGTGGTGAGGTGCTAGTAATGGGAGAATGCTCTTTTTCTTTCTGAAGGCTTTGTCATAGTGACATGATACAAACACTACAGATTCTAGGAGGGAGACAGACACAGGAAGCTGGGGAGAGGTGGGTAGCAAAAGTGACTGGAGGGAAACCTTCCCTCTTGGACCAGGTCTAGGCAAAGCTCTCTGCAGACTTAGGTTAGAGTTTAAGAAAAGAATACAAAGCCAGGCCCCTGCATTGTGTGCCTAGAAGAGGGTGCTGTTGCGGGGCATGCACACTCTTGTTTGACCAGTGCGGGTTAGTGCTACCAGAGAGCATCCAAGGCCTGGAATTGGCTTGGGGCCTGGGAGGGGCGTGAAAGAAGGAAGGATTTAGGGTAGTAAAGTTAGGTACAGAGACCTCCCTGTTCAGGGCTTGTGACAGCTGTCCCTGCCCTTCTTCCCAGTCATGGACTGCCAGGGTTATGTGGGA